CAATATGCTCTGCGGTTAAATTTAAAATTAAAAGAGTTACGTAGATCTGCAAACTGCTCCCACCATGGATACTAACAAATCTCGTAAAACAGCGAACTTACACACAGCGGCCGCCAAGTTCGGGAGTTTGCCGACTTGCTGTAGGTTGGTGCGGTGGCGTTGGAGTACGTCCAGGTATTCTAAAAATTTTTCGCGTTATGCGTATTAAACGGTGCATGCGGTGGAGATCACTGATATAACAAATAGGGAGGGGGTTAGTAAGGAGCTGGGAAGTGACGCAATCGTCATAAGCAGTTTATTCAATCACTCATGCCCAGCCGCAGTACATCGCTGTCCCCTCGCGTCCTGCTTGCGCATCGTCTGCTTCCCGTCCATCTGCTGCACACCACATCAAGGGTGGCGCCAACGATCCCATTGGTCAACCGCTTGGCGGTTCAGGTTTACTCGCCCGGCCGCCAATCACATCTCGTCCCGGCCAACCCACCTGCGACTGAGTATTGCCTACGGTACTCCCTATTTGCACGCCATCCTACGGTATTTTTGACTTCATTAAAACAAATAATTATTTCTCTGCGAGTTCACAAATTTTTTCGACATCAAGCTGTTAATCTAGTGCCCTCTGCTGTTTACCCCGCCCGTTCTTCCCCTCAAAACCGCCATCCTGTTGTACACGACCCACCTAGAGATGTTTTCTCACTGCGGCCGCCTGTTTGGCCTCTGCCCTAAATCTGAATGATCCGAACGACGGAAACTACGTTTGACATGGATTTCACAACGAATTCAATTCTTACAGTAGATATTCCTGTTGAAATGGCAGCATGAGTAAGTCGGACGATTTGGTTCGTACACCATAAATTTAAATTGATGTTGCGGGCACTTTCTTCTCAACCGTTGTCATTCGTTAGCCAATTCTGTTGTGAACTTGTCGTGTTTCAACAAAACACTTGCAGCATACGTATGACCTGAAGTATGGAGCAATGGCTACTGAACAATCAGACGGACACATCGACCCAGTCTTGTCTGAGGCACGATCTTATCTTCATCAGAAATCAATAGGGAATTTTATCTAGTAGAGTGTTTCGTAATAATCCACCTTTCTATCGAAGATCAGTGGGAGATGGTCATTCAACGACCACGTGACGTTTGCATGAAACGAGCCTCGAGAGTTATGGCAATAACAAGAACAAGCGTTGCATTGGCACTGTAAGAGGAGATTAAGTCTTTCATCCTCTGGATTTTAATCAGGGGCACCAAACTACGAGGGACACTGTTATTATACGACAGTGGCATATTGACCGTTCTTGTTCGTTGACACTATGAGATACAACTTCGTCCGCACTAGAAGTTTTCACTTTATGCGTCCTCGTGCAAACGGTTTAAAAAATTCGCGCAAAACTGCGGATGTTTTGGCCGTAAAATTGTGACCTAGTATTAACTAGACACAGCTGCAGGCAGTGAAAATGTAGTCTTCACTTAGCAACTGAGCTCTCACTTCCATCCTCAATATCTGTGGAACCGACGATATCCGCCAATATACAGTCATGCCGGGTGGCTGATAAGCTATTTGTGAATATTAAATTACTTCTGAATGTCCCTTATGCATATATTAAAGGCCTTTACTTGTGTATTTTATACATCTGGAGTCCGTAATTCTAAAAAGTCATATTAGCGAGCATACATCTGATTTCGGCAAATTATCTTCGGGCCTGTGCATTCTAATGCCAGTGAAATAGAGAATAAGAATATGCGGGCAAGTAGATACTTATGCTGTGGCTCGTATTTGGGGGAGAGAGGGATTGCTAAAACATAATTACCTTCGGCGTCAGGGGTTGGTCGGCATCGGGTATGGTAATTATACGGAGGTGGCTGGCTTGGTGACTTTGGGCCATGGCAACCGTAGGACCTGCATAAATCACTACTGTGCGCACAGGATCGGCTTGCGCAATCTGATTACAGTCCGCTCTGCCTTAATCAACAGACTCTAAACAATTCGTCTTAGATAGATTGACGAAACTTTGTAAATCACTCAGAAGGCCCCTCTGATGTCTACGCGATGGATTGTGTCTAATATACTCTCTTAATTTGACTCTTTTCTAACCATACTGGAACATGTTCTCCTATTCTTTTGAACAAATTCTCACTCGTAGGACCTACTATTCTGCCTCATAGAAGCAGTTGAAGGAGTAAATACACATAAAGGGGATCTAAGCTGGCAATCTGTCCTTATTATCTCCTCATAGGATGTGACTAGTGGCGGGCAGTTCGCGGGCGTCAGCTGCCGGCAATGTTCGTGTTGCAGCTTGAGTTAGGCGTATTCTCAACGCGTCCCTCTGAAATGGAACCCTCATGAAAAGCCTTTCCTTTCCTGCCGTCAACATCTGGGATTTAGATGGACTTTCGGCCATGTTCTTTGCACTAAATCGATCAGGGTACTCATTCTGACGAAAGAGAATTTTGACTACCCCAAGCCTTATCTCACTCCTTGTGTCAAACAGCGGACCAAAGTACACCTCAAGTTTAGTGGTACAAAACTCCCAAAATTGGTGTCAGGCTTTCTACGCAGAACGACGTCCAGGAAGGGGAGCGAACCGGACAGTTCTTCTTCCAACGTAAATTTGATGGATGAATGCGCCTACATTATATCATCCAGTAGAAACGCCTGGCTGTTTTGTTCAAGTACAATAGCAAATATATCGTCTACGTAGCACCTATAATATCAACGACGATTGATCTGGTGGCCAGGCTGGAAAGCTTCTAGTTTGCCCATGAATATATTCGCAAAAAGCGGGACAAGCACCGAACACATGACCACATCCGTCTACACAGACTGTTGTCAAATAGGAACTGCACATTCAAGGTACACCTCAGTAACAATTCCTTGAGGGCATTCACTGGCATTCCGATATACTGCTCATTGGCGGCACCGAATTCACAGGGATAGTTGACGGTTTCCGCGACCGGTACGTTCGCGAGAAGAGACGAGGCGTCTAGCGAAGACATAATCACTCCGTACAGGAAAGGGATTTTCAGGCTGTTAACGAATTCAAAGGTAATTCATCAGCTAGGTAGCGTTCGAGGAAATTGTACCGACAGAAGTTTATTGGGACGCGATTTTCATATCCCAGATTACGGCGAGTTTCTCATACTTAGAACTGGATGAACCGGTGTGGCATCTTTGTGGATATTCAGCATACCGTCATTGTTTGATGGAAAATTCGATGTATGTTAACAGCAATATCTCAGAATCCGTAAGTCAAAATATCATTAAATCCTGCACAGTTTCACATCGACTTCGCCTTTACCTGATCGCCCATCGCTCTCAAATCTTCCACAGAAATGGGCTCTTTTTCAGCTGCAAACAAGTAAGTTAAACTGTGGCCATCTGAAAAAGAAGCAAAACATTCTTTAACAAAACAGTTCAACTTCCCTATTCTCGCAGACGGTGTCAATTGTTTATGAGTATTAACCGGAAATTACTACAGCAACCGGATATACGACTAAAACCTTAGTGACAATCTAGAATATAAGCAAGGTTACAAGACAGGCTTCCCTCTATGACGCGTGTCCCATCAGTTGAGTAGGGAGGCGCAAAGGGGAGATTTAAAAAACACGGACAAGTTAATAAGCAAGAAAGGTATTGTTCTAACGAAATCCTATTTGACAAATCTTTGTGGTAAACTTTAAGTCCCAGGTACAGGGAGCTGTACCATACTTCGAAATAAGCGATTTATTAAGAATCAATATGGTCTCCGTACAAGGTGACTCTTAATTCGGCATATGCGTCAGTTCACATGCCCAGCACTCCAAAGTCTCAGTTCTTGACTCAACAAAAGGCTTGAAAGATCTATCCGAATCCGGAATAAGACAAAGCGTGTTATATGATTGTGCGTTTTATGTCTATTCATTAGTTTCTGCATCAGATCGATGTTCTTATGCCTAAGGAATTTCCGCGTACATATTAACGATGGCATAATTACAAGCACTTCTCCAAAAATGACAAAATATATTAATTAATCTGTCTGGAAGAAGAGAAAGCTAAATTCTCAAACTTGATAGTGATAAGTGTTACCTAATACAAATACCCATTAATCATGAGACACTCGAACGGAACAGGAAAAAAGATACGGAATGTTCCATATAAGTGGTCCAAACATCAACCACGTACATTCGTTGGGACCCACTCTAATTTAACCATAAATATGGTGGCTTCCTTCATGTTGCGACATTTTTTCATGCTTTTAGGACAGACAGCAAACAAACCCGGCTTTTTAGAAACGCCTCACAGCATTAAAAACTAGTCTATGAGATCTTGTTGGGCACTCGTCTGTTTTACTTTATCGGAAGACAGCGACATTCCTATGCATAATGTGTTTTTCCAAAAATATAGACTGTGCGTCTGCTGGTCAGTTGGTGTCATAAGCGATGCCATCTTTCCACGCTTACTGATCAATCAATAAAGACAACAACTAGCCTACCTAACCTCGTTCACCAATCAAAATTGCTCCTAGCCTTACCTGTGCCAAAATTGCAGCCTGAGTCACCAGAATGTCTCAACTAGTAGTGCTAATAGTGGCAGACCAGTCAGTGGAAGGCTTCCATCAGCCAGTAGAACAGAGAATGATGTAGATAATGCGAAATACCACTTCTGAGGACCATGCCGGTGAGATATAAATAACACAATCCGTTGGCGGTTTATTAACAACGTTTCTTGGCGCAAGTAGTTGCGCCCTTGCTTTGAAAGCTCTGATATCGCGCTTGGTTGGAAACCTTGCCTGTTTTTCAGCTAGTCTTACAAAATCCACTCGGCAAACTACGCCAGAGGTCGGGAATCCCCGCTAGATAAAAAATGTCAGCAAACATATCATACGACATCGTACAAGTGTCTCGCAGTACCAGCGGAGGCAGCTGTAGTGAAAAACGTCAGCATCGGTTGCGGGGAGAACAGAAGCATCGACGAATTTTCGCCTTACGATCGTTCACAGCTAAGAAAAAACTCAAGTATGGAGCCCTTGGTAAATCGCCGCGGAGTAAGGCCTAATGACTATAATCCACAAAGTACGTTCTTACTCGATTGTGCTATTAATGACGTGATACTCCTAAAGGTTGAACAGACAATTTTGAGTTTTTTTTAAATTGGCTCTTTAATGTTTGTTTATTTGTCTGTCTGAACGTAAACTAAAGCCATTCACTCCGATAATGTAGAGGTGTCTTTACTTAGGTTGCTTATCCATAATTGCATAACCGGTTAAAATTTTCGATTTTCATGAGCCATCCAATTTTAAGTTTAATGGAACACTGGGAAATAAGCTCAGACAGGTGGAAGAAAGTCTCGTCGGAGGAGTGAATATTGTTCGAGGAAATTAGTAGAAACAGTGAACTCTCACGAATGGAAGTGAATATGCCAGTCCCAAGTTCTTGCAAGGAAGGTGAATGCGCGATCACTGTGACAATAGATGCATTGATCTTAATCCAAAAGCTCAGACTAACACAAATATTGTCCCAATGACCGTACGTTTATTTTCTTTAGAGAGAAAACCCTGTCAACACATCACTAGGTACGGACCACATGGTGTTTTTGTTTAATAAACTACAAACACTCTACGAAATTAGACCAGTCAAGAGCCCTTATCATGTCTCCCAAAGTCTACTGGTTGGTCCTAATTGAAGGAAATGCCTTTCATGGATCAAATGATTGCGGACGATGTAAACAAATAGATACTGAGAAATTCGTAGTTTTCAGCCAACGAAAGGTCTATTATCAGCCGCAGATTTTTTGATAATAAAATAAGTCAAAAGTACAAAGTCGAATTTTTGACTAGAAAATATTTTAGTATTAATACTCTGTCACAGTCCTACACGGATATATCTTTACCAGTCTATTTTGGCCTCCTTCAGGCAAAAGATTCAAATATGCATCTATCAGAACTATAGAAAACTCTTCAAATGGACGCTCAGACAATAAAGACCTCACAGAAGAATCCCTAGTCCACAACAATCAGCAGTCAGCCGGTTTGAATGAGTTAGTTTTCGGCAGAGCACAGTGTATCAATTTTGAACGGCAACATGCCACTGAAACACATTGCAACCCACCGGCTATCCTTCCCCTCGGATCGCTATCTGAAATAACCGATCATCTTCCTGTGTTCGACGAAACCTTTGTGAACTTATATTCCTCCCTCTCTTCATTCAACTCCTGTGCTTCCGAGGACACCTATAAAGGGTCTGACCGACTGACTTTACCAGATGAGCTACTCCTAAAGCCTAACCTGTATGAAACTTGCGACCAAAACAACTACCTGGACCTGTCTTTCCTACCGGATGAAAGCGCTCTTTTCCTTGACGATAACACTCCTGCGCAGGAAACCTATTCAGCAGTTGATGAAATCAATGGCTTTCCTGATCTCTCCACATCACTGGACCATGCAGTGGATGTCAACGAACTGCTCGAATTAATTGACACTAGTCTGCCAACACCCCAAGATCCGGTGTCTGATTTCGCTCTAGAGTCTTTCATTAATACAGACACAGACAGTCTGCCCGAGATTGACTTTGACATGGAGGACATGAAGGAAACTGAACGTGTCTTACAATCTTTCGCGGACTACGTAAGTCATCTTTTTTTCTGGATAGGAAAGTGCATGCACTCATGTCATAGTTTTACCAGCAAAGCTAACTCTGTTGTCCCACGTGAAGGATTAACTTCATGTTTAATTTGTAATTGCATTCATTGTAGGAGGAAGTCTACGCTCGCGGACGTTTGGTTGAAGCGGCAACAAATACCTCGTCGACAGACAACCAGCCCATTGAAATGACATCCGGTTGTGCTACACCTCATAGTCGAGCTGTAGTTTGCAACATGGATACGGATCGTGAGAAGGAAAGGCGACAGAAAAACAACGAGGCTTCGCGACGGTCCAGAGCTAAGAGAAAAAACAGATTTAAAGCATGTGAGGAGAAAGTCGATCGACTAGAAATGGCTAATTTAGAACTGAAATTCTACATTGAACGTCTGGATGTTGCTATACAGGAGGCGAAGGATATGCTTCTGTTGCGAATTTGAAAGAAAGATATTGCGTAATTCGACGTGCTCATTCCGATAACAGAGCACCTACTGATGTTAATGTGAAAATCATCTAACTGGATGGCTCTATCTCCGTGAATCTTGTCAGAAAGAAGTTTTCGGAGTCGAGGACATTGAAAATTGAGGCGAAATATCCTCACGCGTTTATGAGACCAAGGAAATCATCTGTGCTAAAGTTGACTCATTGTACATTGTTAAAATAAATGATTTATGTGTAAACATGGAATTGTTTTATCTTGTGTTCTGTCAAACGACGTTTGCTGTGACACGTACCTACGCCATGCAAGAAGCTACGGCTCCCTGCTTTAGGCTGGAAATGCAGTCTCTAAACTACTTTAGTCAAAAACTTCATCTGTCTCGTCCTAAACACACAACGTATTTTACCTGGACGGAAGGGCACGTACATCATCCAGACACATTAGTTCACATTTCGAACACGGAACAGATGCAAAACCATGATTTAAGCATACCCTCAACAATATATCTGATACATACAAGCATTTTATCCTGGTGCAAAAAAGGTGTTATTAACCGGCGTTTATATTTCCGTAGGATAGTTGTCTAGTAGTTGAGAGGCGGCGTCAGAGATAGCACACGACGGTGGAGGCCCATGGAGAACAATAATGCCCAACTGCTGTGCCCGTAATCAAACGGTGATGTGTGGTCCGTATAGTACTAGCTTGCTTAACCAGATCTCTGTCGTCTGTTTTAAACCAGAAGACGTTGCCATTTTGTTCGTGGCAGTTCTGTAGGAGTCTAAAGGCCAGTTGCAAAAAGTCCTCGACGTCCGCGTTGAGGTTGATGTCACGAAGTGTGCGATCACCATCTTCGCATTCATTCGAGAAGGCGTCTCCGACTCTCACAATTCGGCATGTCGGGAAATGTGTTTAGGATATTTCGTTAAAGAGGAGTCTGAGAAGGCTCAAATGGAATAACTCCCTAGTGTTTTCCCGATAAGGCATCCTTGGGAAGACGATTGGACAAAGAGGCCGTATATTGTGCGTAATCTAAATGATCTGTCCTTATTTGCAACTATTCCTATTGGAGTGTTTGAGATTAATAGTTCCGTTGGGAATAGTCCGGCGTTTCGTATGCATTCCTCTTTATCGTCAAAACACAATCAGATCGATTTCGTCTTATTGACCAAATAACGAGGGAAGATGTATGTCAGGGGAATGGTTGAAAAACTCTTGGGTTTCCTGCCCGCTGTAGCAGGTCGAATTAGGTTTACCAGTAATGACAGTAGTCTTGCTACATTTATTTCCAAGTTTAATTAGAACGCTCCTGGTTTCTGCTTTTTTCACAGTTTAGAAGGGATCTCGATTTATGTAGCCAGTCTTAATTCATGTAGCCCTTGTAGTTTTTACGTGAGTGAAAGCCTCACGTGAAATTTTGTAGTGCTGCAGTGAAGTTGGCGAAAGCCTGCTTTTACTAAGGATACTGTTCTGAGTTAGTAGATGTGCTAGCTCGTGAAATGTTAGTGGAAATTCGAAGATGTCCTCGATGCAAAAGTAATTTAAGTAGAGCTGTAACAGTGATTATCGTCCAATATCCCAGTCAAGCCGGGATGCCGGCCTCTTTTTAGACTTCTGCAAAAACTCCACTTTCTTAATGATGGCTTCTTAGGAAGCGTTCAGGTTCCCCTTGGCTTTGAATGCCTTTGTAAACGCGAACATATTATAAAGAAAACACACACAAGAATTTGGTAGCACATTGCGCATTCTCCAAATTTTCTACTTGACTACAGAGTATGTTTTGTTATTCAAGCAGTTTCTGATTATGAGATTTTCTATGACTGTTAATACTCCATTCATACAGCATCGCATCGGCATATTTATTAAGGCTATATGTAAAGTCTACATCATGGTCCACCCCCATTTTTACGATTTTATGAGTCCCATATGACGTCTTCCTAATAGCGTAGAAATATGTATGATATCCATTTGAAGGAGTGTATCTAGCATGTAGTTTGGAAACTCTGAATGCGAGTGTACGGGTAGGTGGAGCGAAGCGGAACTCGGGAATTCAAAACTTCTTTTGAAAACCGAGAGATACATTCTCCTCAAGTAGAAAATTTGAAGAAAACATAATTGACTACCAAATCAGCACAAGAGAGCATACTTTAACGTAGGTTTTCCACATAGTATATTAGGGCGTCGAACATGAAGAGGCAAAATTCGTACTTCATAAGTGGTCGTCTTTTGCAGAGTGTAACTTTTCCAGACAGCTGAAAAGCAGCTCATTCAGAAGCTGGTGTCCTGACTTGATTGAAATGTCTTGTGATTGTGTTACACGATAATTAATACTTCAGTCCTCCTTAAGTAATCTTTTCGGATCGAAAGCATATTACAGATTTTGGGCCAGCATCTCACGAGATAACGCATCTGTTGTAAGTAAAAAGTATTACAAAGCAAAAAACCTTCAGATTGGCCAACAACGGAAAGCACAAATCAATACCGAGTATGACGAACTACTCTGAAGCAGATCGGGTTAATCACATCCGATGCCTAAGCATGCAAACTTTTTTATTATTACTTTTCTGCACACCAGAGTATACGTTTGCAAACTTCAGAAATACTTAGTTCCAATTGACTATTTTGTAAATCCATTGACGTCACGAGCTTCACTAGTATCTCAGCATCTGCGCACTCTCGCCTCCTCTCTCACCTGAACCCCGTGCCAAGATAGAGTCAAGAAGACCGCAGGTGGGGGAGGACACAGGTGGTGTTTCTGCATAATAGTTCACTGCCCAATGTCTAAGGAATCCTTAACTGTCGGGTCGAAATCCAATTAGCAGGTTTATCCGCTCTGCCATCTACAGTCTGCTACTGACCGTATTTGGACTGAAACTGTCTGCGCCCCCTTTCTTTCAACGAGTGATTTTCAATGAGGATAGAGACCTCATGAATTTCTCAAATCCTTTTCAAATTCAACAGCTACGGAAAATCTGCAGCGTCTTCACGCACCTGACTATAACGGAGTGGTATCTGCTTATACGACCTATTACTCTGGTTTATCGAAATTTTCGGAATATTTTCAACTTATCCTTATTTTTAAGATAATCATTGGAAAGGAAATCTTTGAATACGTTCAAGTACTTAACGTAGATTATTCCATACAGTCTTAAATGACGACTCGACTTAAATATTTTTCCATGATTATTCCATTATAACCTAAATATCAGCTCACGTGTAGCACCCACAGACACATATGATCAGGGAGTCGTCCAATTACACTTATTTATTATTTTTAAACTATATTTAGTTTAGCGCGGCTGACGTTTTCTGGGCGCGACAATATTTCAGAACTTCATGCAGCAAAGCTTGATGAATGAACCTGGACGACGCCTGGAGAGATTGGAAACCTTTGTGAATAAATAAGGTAGAGATAGTGACAAACATAGGAAGAAACGAACTGGGAGAACGATCTGTGTACCTCATGCGAGGAAGAGAGGTTTGTGTGAGGTATATGCAAAATCAAGCGACTTTGGTGCTGGAATTGGTAACGCTATTTTGAGGGAATTCAGTTAGTTCTCTGTAATCTGTGGATCGTGTGCCGATGTATATACTTGCAAAATCTTGTTACTTCCTGATTACTGACAGTTGAACCCAAAGACGGAGAAAGAATTACCGGACCGCGGTTCGTGGGACCATATTGGACTTATCGACATTTGCCTATTTAAAGCTCCAACTAATATGGTTGCTGACCAATCACCTGATGAACAAGGCACAACGTGTATTGAGAATCACATGACTTGTAAGGAGCAGACTTATGGGATAACTTTCAATGATGAAATTAAACTAAATCTGAAGGATCCGAACGGTGGGAACTACGTCTGACATGGATTTCACAACGAATTCAATTCTTACAGTATATATTCCTGTGGAAATGACAGCACAATTAAGTCGGACGATTTGGTTCGTACACCATAAATTTAAATTGGTGTTGCGCGCACTTTCTACTCAACCGTTGTCATTCGTTAGCCAATACTGTTGTAAACTTGTCGTGTTTCAACAAAACAGATGCAGCATACGTATGACCTTAAGTATGGAGCAATGGCTACTGAACAATCAGACGGACANCGTGTGCCGATGTATATACTTGAAAATCTTGTTAATTCCTGATTACTGACAGTTGAACCCAAAGACGGAGAAAGAATTACCGGACCGCTGTACGTGGGACCATATTGGACTTATCGACATTTGCCTATTTAAAGCTCCAATTAATATGCTTGCTGGCCAATCACCAGATGGAGCAAGAAACAACGTGTATTGAGGATCACATGACTTGTAAGGAGCAGACTTATAGGATAACTTTCACTGACGAAATTAAACTAAATCTGAATGATCCGAACGGCGGAAACTACGTCTGACATGGATTTCACAACGAATTCAATTCTTACAGTAGATATTCCTGTGGAAATGACAGCACAATTAAGTCGGACGATTTGGTTCGTACACCATAAATTTAAATTGGTGTTGCGGGTACTTTCTTCTCAACTGTTGTCATTCGTTAGCCAATACTGTTGTAAACTTGTCGTGTTTCAACAAAACAGATGCAGCATACGTATGACCTTAAGTATGGAGCAATGGCTACTGAACAATCAGACGGACACAGCGATCCTGTCTTGTCTGAGGTCCGATCTTATCTTCATCAGAAATCAATAGGGAATTTTATCTAGTTGAGTGTTTCGCAATAATCCACCTTTCTATCGAAGATCAGTGGGAGATGGTCATTCAACGACCACGTGACGTTTGCATGAAACGAGCCTCGAGAGTTATGGCAATAACAAGAACAAGCGTTGCATTGGCACTGTAAGAGGAGATTAAGTCATGCATCCTCTGGATTTTAATCAAGGGCACCGAACTACGAGCGACATTGTTATTATACGACAGTGGCATTTTGGCCGTTCTTATTCGTTGACACTATGAGATACAACTTCGTCCACACTAGAAGTTGTCACTTTATGCGTCCTCGTG